TTTTGTTTGTGTGCTTCTGCATAACAGAATAGGGTTGGCCCTTGTGGTATCTTCCAACTCTATGATTCTGTGATTCTAATATTTCATTGGAAGCAGCCTTAAAAAGGTGGCATCGAACTATTGTGACCCTACGGATATTGTTGGACTGCAACTCCCTTTGTTCCTTGGCTTGTGCTGATAGTAGTGACAATCCAACAATATCTGAAGGATCATGTGCTGACCTTAAGATGTTATTTGCTGGTGTATCAAGTGTTATTTCACAGGGAGATTCATATTTTGCACTAGATGCAAATATGTATGGGGTTTTTTTTTCAATTCAGTATTTGTATTAATCAGTCCAGGCCACAAGCATCTTGTCTTTGCCCATTTACAATATGTTCCATGGAGACACTTAGTTGGCATGACATGAAAAAACCAAGTTGCCTGCCAATCCTGCCTTGTCCCTTGTGGTCAGCATGAGAGAGCAAACCTCCTGTATAGTACTGTCGGCTCTCTGCAGCAATTCTGCCTATCAGCCATACCTGCAGCAAACTGAGTTGCTTGCTTGATTTTAGAAAAGCAAAAGAACCCACCTTGGCTAGTCATTAAAAAAAAAGCAGCCATTCAAAGCATGGATATTTTTCTTTTAGACAACAGTCTGTGCAAAACCATATGCAGTTAAATATAAGTAAGCTTTGAAATAAGTGAACCCACAATTAAGATAAATGAGCTGGGGTTACATCATTGTGTGAGTTTTACTGTTGAATCGGCATGATGTGCAGAGTAAATGAAGCAGGCAAAGACTGATTTACGGTGGCAATGTTATCTTTCCAACCAGATATTTTATATTTTAGAAACTGAACTTGATCCTGCTGGTTTACAAAACCTACATGGAACCTGCAGCTGATTTTCTTGCCCCACGGTTTTTAAACTAATTAAGACTTGCTCCTAATATGCAGTTTGGAAAATAAAGGATGCTTCCAAATATCATTTTTAAACAAAATATGGCATACTTTCCAAATGTCCTGATTTGGCAGGGACAGTCTCAAGTTATACTCTGCTAACCTCCTTTTAAAGCTACTTTTAAAATGTCATTTTTTATTTACAATACTTGTATCCCACCTTTCTCAACCCCAAAGGGGACTCAAGGCGGCTTTACAAAGGCAACAGTTCAATGCAGCATGCAATGGATAAACAAATCAATGGATAAACAAAAGATTAAAACATTTTTGTTCTCCTCCTTGTTCCTTCCGACTTTCTCCTCAGCTTGTTTCAAGTGCTGCAAACTGAGTTTAAAGGGTAAAACTACTCAATTAACTCAGCAGAAAGAGAAAAGAAGAATCTTGCCCTTTCTCATAGTCTACAGCTTGTGTGCTCTTCCTCATTAATAACTTTTGTCATTTCGCCCACACTCTGATACTGCTTAACCAAAAGTGTCTCTGCTTTCACTTGTGAAATGTTAAAAGGAATAACATGATATTTTTGTGTACTTACCTAGAAAGTTTAAGTTTTACAGGCTTCCATATATAGGCATGGACAAGCTTCGGCCCTCCACGTGTTTTGGACTTCAACTCCCACAATTCCTAACAGCCAGTAAACTGGCTTGGATTTCAGGGAGTTGAAGTCCAAAACACCTGGAGGGCTGAATTTTGCCCATGCATGATATAGAATAAGAACTATTCTTCTCTAAGCAAGATAACGCTAGAACTTGTAAAAACAGAAACAACTATATTCAAATTTCAGGGAAAGAGATTCCAGGATGGAAGAATGGGATTGAACTGGATGGACCTTGTGGTCTTTTTCTGCTGTATGATTCTATGGTTCTATAATTATAATCTTTTGTGCCACATAGTCCAACCTCCTGCAAAGTGTCTACTTAAACAATCAAATGAGGAAAGTGGATTCCATAGGAATCATTGCAATTTATGTTGTTCCATTGCAACTACAACCTTTGAAATGACTTCCATGAAAATGAATACTTCTCCCTTCCTTCCACCACTTTATACACTTGTAAGAGAAATAAATTCAAATATTGTGACACTAGGTTTTTAAAAAAGTATTAAAAGTAGCTAGAAGTATTGTATACATGCCACAAGCAATCTTAAGAAAACAAGTTTTTTTTTTCTTTTTAAAAATCCTGTTTTATTATTCAACAATTTTATACAGCAGTGTCAGCATAGGCAATATATGAAATTAATGTAGTATTTGATTAGACTGATGGATTGTTTTCACAGCTAAAGTCTTTCACATTCATTAGTCATGCTAACCAGTCATTAATACCACCTTTATCAGCAAGCAAACAAATGGAAATTCAAATAAAAATTCACCACACTTGAGAGTACCAAATAGAAAGGAAATATTACAAGAGCATTCATACTAGATAAATATTAACTCACAGGTTGGTTGTACTGGAGAACTTCATTTGTGCTAAGGCCAGTTGCTGGAAATACCACATGCGGATTTGGCAGCTATGGATCTGCCTGAGCACAGAAACCTGGTTCTCAACACACAGCAATCTGCTTTCTTTTGGGAACTGGCTTTATGCAGCTTTAGACCATGGCAGACTGGGACCAAGGTTTGCATTTGTATGAGAGGGGTGATCAACCATGAACTTACAAAATCAAATGCTACATAAGGTTGATTATCTTTATTGCAGAAAATTGGTTGGATGATTTTCAGAAGCCTTTATTAATATAAATATTGGGTGGGGGGTTGGGGGGGGGTTGCATCAATACAGAACTAGAAGCTTGAGTTGAAAAGTTGCAAATTGTTTATAAAGACAACATTTCCCTTACACAGGCAAACTGAAAGTCATCTACTTGTGCTGGATAAACCGGGGCATACCAAGGATTGTAGTGACGTATGCCCTGGCTGATCAAGTCAGATCTGAAATTTCAGTCTCTCTGACTCTGGTGATGCTCGGAACATCATGGCTAAGAACTATGCACTATGTTGTTTAATTACAAACTCCCACAGTGTCGTAGATCATGCACTGGATTTCCTGCTGTGTAATAGCTTGTTATAAGTATAGAAGGGATTGCATTTTGTTTGGAATCATGGTCAAATTGTAACAAGGTTATAGATAGGATAGAAATTCCTACCTGCTTCTAACTAAATGTTATGTAAAACAGATTGCTTGGACTCACATTAGTGATTTTTAAAAGAAATTATTACCAGCCAGCAGGAGAATAGGAGAAGGGAATTCAGAACATTGCATGCAGTCAGAAATAAAGCTCCCATAGCACCTACTCCATCTAGAATCAATAGCAGTGCAAAGAGGGATTTTTTGTTGGAAAGGATTATTAATTTACTAATTTATTTATGAGTCACTCTATATCTTTAAAGCTCTTAGAATTATGAGCAACAGATAAGAAATATAACATAAAAGAGTATATAATCACATTAAACATTAGGATTAACAAGGAAAAAGGAGAATAAATAGGTTGGCTCATATCATTTGGAACAACACAACAAACAAAAGTGATCATATCAGGGCTAAAAAATAAACAATACAGGACCTCATCACATTGAAGTTGGGATTCTCCATAGATTGTGGAGAATCCGGTGGGGCCTAGCGGGAGGCATGGAGAATCCATCATCCCACCTTGCCCCTCACCCCATCCCATGGGGGGAAGTGTCACCACCCAGCTTCCCCCCGTTTTTTCCTATCCAACACGGGAAGCTTCCCATGTTGCCAAAGTGGCCTCTTACCATACTAGGACTTTGGTTGAGAAACGAAGCCCCGTCAGAAATAGATCAACATTGTATGATGAGAGCTGATAGGCTCCATACCTCAACTGAAATCCAAGTGATGTAGGATGGGCAATTTTGCTTGTCTGATGAATTCATTAATCTAACAATTCAATAATGTCACCTTCTTTTTCTGTTAATGGGGATCCTCATGAAAACTGGTGTGTCCTTATGCATGTTACTCATTTTAAATAACCTGATTTGTTTCTGTTGATAGTTCTGTTGCCAACCTTTGGATTGAAAGAAATAGTTATAGCTAATAGCCAGAAATATAAACCCAGTCCCTAGCACACTCACAAAAAATAAGTCCTGGGCCCCCTCACATTAGGTCATCTAAGAAGCACTGTGGTAGGGGAAGGCTTGCAAAGATAGCCAGTTTGGAAACTCCTGAAATATACCAGTAGTTTTAAAATTGAGTCTAAGCTACAGCTGATTCGATGACAATAAGCAGGCTAAGGCCAGTCTGTGCAAAATGAACTCGCAGGTATATGTACTCACCTTGTAGCAGCCTTGGTCCTGACACACAATGTATGAACGATGTTTCTCTGAACAAGGTGCCCAGTGTCAGTTGTGCGCCATCCTCACCATTGTTTGCATGCCTGAGTATCTCCTTCTAATGTCCAAGCAAGCCACTTCCCCATAGCACTCTGCTGGAAGGTGTTTGGCCAAGACATCAGTAGCAGGCAAATCACTTTGGAAGAGAAGGAAAAATAGAAATGGTGCTCTTTCAGATTTGGGGTGTAGACAGCAATACAATTTCAGTGTAGTATATTACAAGTAGCTGTGGGGTGAATCCAAGGCATCTTCAGGGCCGAATAATCTGAATCATAGATTGTTTGTTTTGGTGCTGTAGACAAGCCTGTGTTTTGGAGAAGAAATAATTGGCTACCTTTGATCAGTTTTATTTGTTTAAGTATATGTGCAATTTAGGATTTCTGTTGATTATGCCTGTTACTGGGTTCCAAGCCCAACTAAAATGAACTTTATAACTGAACAAGGATTTTAACCCATATCCAGGCAAGAACTATATCCCAGCAGCTTTCCACAAGCATCATCCCACCTTCGTGTTGTTTGTTTTTTTCTTTATCTCTTGGCTTTTTTACAACTAGTCTCTCTCTTCATAACAGTGATTGCTAAGCAATTGATTTTATTTATTTATAGCAAGGAATAAGGAATTTTATATTGCCTTTCAATTACAGATAAAATATAATTAAAACTTTGCTTGTGAAAGACTGATTGTTCTGTTCTCTCTCTCTCTTTTAATAAAACAGGAATCCCTGAATGTTATTGATCCTGGCTTAATGGAACTAAGTGGCACAAGTGAAGATGCTCTAGAATGGGATGAAATGGATATAAGTAATAAGCTAATTAGCATTAATGAGGAATTCAATGAATTTGATCAAGAACCAAAGCAAGATGACACAAAGCTGAACCCACCATTTGAAGCATGTGCTATTAACACCAGTCCAAAGCAAGAGGAAAACTCTAGTATCCATGGAAATAGTATAAACAGTGCAAGTGTTACAGCTACACCTGGCCCTCAAGTCTACCAAGTGTACAGCCTTCACAATGTAGAGTTAACAGGACAAAACCATAAGCCCTTCATGGCAAAAGGATCAAATCCACCCATTCTTAGACATCCAGATGTTTTAAATAAACACACCAATAAGGACTTTTCATTGTCACCCACCAAACATTTACCAGATCTAACAGGTAGCACCATTCTGACAACACCACAACATTATATGTATCACAGTGGAAGTGTAAGCAGGCACTCTGAGAGTCAGAATAAAATAGGCAATGAAAGTGAAGCAGAAGCTACTAAAAGTTCTCAAATCCATTTGACAGGTGACACTGAAGGGAAGCAGGAGAATTCTGCAAGTAGCATTTCACATTCCCAATTAGGGAATCCTGTTGATGCGATAAAGGAAGACTTTAAGCAGAAGGATGATGAGAACCATCTTAATGTCTTAACTACTTCTCAGTCAAACTGCTGCGACAAAGCAAAAAATGTGGACAATATTATTGAAAATAGTGCTCAGAATTCAGAAGAAGAGTTACAACAAGGGAAACACAATGTATTTACATTTTATGATTATTCATATCTTCAGGGTTCAAAGCTCAAGCTGCCAATGATAATGAAGCATTCGCATTCAGAAAAAGTGCTCAAGCAAGGTAGTTTGCTTCATGGGTTTTATTTTGATAAAGTCCCCTTAAAATCTGACCATCATCCAAAAGGATGTGCCCCTATGGATGAGCTTGCTTTATCAACAGAATTAGATGATACAGAGCCCAAGTGCTGTGAATTTGTGGAGAATTTAAAGAAATTAAATGACACAGCAAATCCAAAACAGCTTTCAACTTTATCTCATAGCTCTTCTCTGGACTCCCTTCCTGTGACAAATGATTTATTTGGCTCAACTGTTTTTAGAAGTGGAGAGGGTCTTCATCGGAGCACTTCCTTGGAGAGTTGCTTAACACCCTACAAAAGCAACGAAGATCTTTTTAGTTGCAATGGCTCTGGAGACTTAAGTGGAAGTAGTGATTCTGTAGGGGAACTTAGCAAAAGGACGTTGGACCTTTTGAATCGTTTAGAAAATATCCAGAGCCCTTTAGATCAGAAAATAAAGCGCAGCATCTCTGACATCACTCTCCAAAGCACTTCTCAAAGAATGTCCTTGACTGGTCAGTTATCATTAGATATTGCATCTTCTATCAATGAAGATTCACCTGCCTCTCTGACTGAGTTAAGCAGCAGTGACGATTTGTCTTTGTGCTCTGAAGATATTGTATTGCACAGAAATAAAGTACCAGATTCAAATGCATCATTCAGAAAACACCTCAATCGGTCTGTAGCTGATGAGAGTGATGTCAACGTTAGCATGATTGTTAATGTTTCCTGTACCTCCGCTTGCACTGATGATGAAGATGACAGTGATTTGCTATCAAGTTCTACCCTCACCTTGACTGAGGAAGAGCTGGGCATTAAAGCTGAAGATGATGACTCCAGTATTGCAACTGATGAGGATATTTATGAAGACTGCAATTTAATTTCAGGACTTGACTACATAAAGAATGAACTCCACACTTGGATCAGACCCAAATTTCATCTGACAAAGGACAAGAGAAGGAGCATCTTGGATGATGAAATCCAAGGCTGTAAGGATTTACGGAGTGATGAGACTCTGAAAGCAAAAGATTCACTCAGCATTGAAAATTTTTTGAATGATTCAATACGTAAGCTCTCAGAAAATAATGGCAACAGTAAGACTGCATCTGATAATCATGAACCAGAAACAAAAAGGCAAACTAAAAATCATGTTTTTCAAGTTTCCAAAGATCATTTAGTGGATGATATGGAAAATGGAAATGTTGCAATTACTCATGAAAGCCCCAAAGAAGAACTTACTCAGATATCACCTGTTGCCATGAATGTTGGTACACAAAATAGTAAAGGAAGTGAAAATGACAGTCATATCTGTGAAGCATTTACTGATAGTTCAGATGATTCACACATGGATGGTAAGGAGTCTGTTCAAGTGTCAGAAATATCAAATTCTCAAAAAGCATATAAAAAACATTTTCCATTGGACAGGTCTTCTCTTAAAAAATCTTTCACAGAATTTGATTCAGATATCAAAGACACAGATACAGCAACACCTGATACAGCATTACCGGAATCAATGCCAAATGGCCAAAAAACCAGAACAGAATTTATTGAATATGGTAGCGATTGCTGTGCATCTTTTAAATCCAATGAAGCAGTAAAAAATACATCAGTGGGCAGTAGTGATTCATGCTGTAACTGTGAATCGTCTGCCTTTGATAAAAGAAATGGAGAAGATTGCTCAGTGCATAACTTTGTCATGGAGATAATTGACATGGCCTCAACAGCATTGAAGAACAAGTCACAGCCTGAAAGCGAATTGGCTGCTCCACATTCATTGGCCCAGATCAGAGAAAAAGTTTTAGAGCATTCTCACAGGCCAATCCAACTTAGAAAGGGAGATTTTTATTCTTATCTCTCACTCTCTTCTCATGATAGTGACTGTGGGGAAGTAACTAAATATGTTGAAGAAAAGAGCAGCACACCAGTACCACTGGATTTTGCAGAAAATATTGAATGCTTTTTTGAAGCCTGCCCTGAAGAAGAGAGAGTAGAACAGCAAGAATATGTAGCTAATGAAGAAGCTGGAGCAACTTTGGCAAAATATGAAGCTCTGGATTTAACAGATGGACCTGAAACATCTGGTGATTGTAGTGGCTTTTTCTTAGGGGAGGAGACAGATATAGGTTTGCCAACTTGTCTTAGTCAGAGGGTTTCAGATAATTTAGAAAATTCTGATAGTGAATGTTTGAATCTGGACTTTTCTAGTGAATGTGCAGCCTTGAATTCCCTTGCAATTAACTCTGAAGAAATTGATCCAGGAAAGTCACTTGGGGTTGAAAAATCAGAAGATCTTGACTCTTCTCTAAAGGCCTCAACTCAAGCCATTCAGTTAAAGCCTGACAACTTGAAGGACGTTTTGCACCAGGACACTAAAACTCTTACATGTGAAGAAAACCTCCTGCATCTTCACAAGGAAAGGCACATAAACACACAGAGATAGAATGTAACCCAGTCTGAACACACACACATGTTATCTCATAAACAGGTAGGTATTGGACCCTATGAGAAAAGAACCTGGTTTACTAATAGAATTATTGTTCAGTGAAGCAAAATGTGGGGTTGCCTTTCTGAGTTTTGGAGTGGCTTATCATACTGGGTCTACTGAATTTTATCACAAAATAACATTTTGGGATCACTTTTCTGTATATTTTAGATTCAGACATAAGTATAAAATGTTAGCTTTTTGCATCAGCTGAGATTGGCTGCTAAATCACTGCTTTTCTTTTCTCAAGATTCATTAAAGCAGGTAACCGACCCTTCTCTGTGAGGCGCAGCTAGTTAAATATTGGGCTAAATCCAATTGCTTGTCTCAACTAAAGTAGATTAATTAAATATATGGACATCACATAAGTGTGATTTCATATTTGGTAGTTCATTCAATGGATCTACTACAACTGGAAGTAGCAACTGGATTTAATCCAAGATTTTTAGTTGATGTATATTTTGTGCATTTGGATATACAAGAACAATGAAAAGTAGGAACTAACTCTTATATGTAACTCCAGCTTCTGGTTGATCTTTTCCCAGACATCTGTACAATGCAAAAGTTAACAACACCTGCAGCTATAGCAGGGATGAGATGAGATGAGGCAAGGCAAGGCAGGTGAGATGGGGCATGACGAAACATGACTGAAGTGGACTTTTTCTTAAATTCCCCTGTAATTCATACCCAAAGTTATGCTTCCTTGACTGATAACACCACAGGCTATCCCTCACCACTTCTGTGAACTGCTAAAATTAGCAGAGCCAGTTGGTAGGGAAAGAGAGTAAAGAACGGAAGTTCTCCACTCACCATTTGAGTTCTGGATTTCGTAGCTATTTAAATGAAGTTGAAAATCTATCCCCAGGCCCAATCTGCTCCTTTCCAGTGATGGCAACATGAGATTAGTTGCTCAGTGGAGGGAATCATTCTGTACATTCATACTTTTTTACAAATGAAACTGCCCCTCCAAATTTACCTAATTTTGGATAGTCTAATATGCTGCAATACACATCCGTTACTGCATTGCTATAGGTTCCTGGGTAAAGGTACTACTTATATCAAGACAGTCAGGGGAGAAAACAACATACTTCCAGCAACAGGACCCGTATTTTCACCAGTTCTAGGCATTCCTTCCCCCACTGTAAGAGCTTAGTTGATACTTTAACTTCATCTTTCATGCTATGGGAAATGAATTAGAGGCAATCTATCCTAATTTGTTAACTTATTCAAATAACAGTTATTATACTTAACTATGCTAAAGATTATCTTTTTGGTGGCAGATTGTTTATTTTTTTTGATGAGCCTAATTACTGATTTTCCAAAGGTAATTTACATTTATTACTAATACATCTCTTAAAATGTGACAGATAAATGTTGTTCCCATAAGTGTATTATGAAAAAAGTTACTATTTAAAAACACATTATTTAATTTGAAAGATAAATGGCAAACACCGTTTTTTCCCTTCAGCACCTGTGCTCTAAGCTCATTAAAATGTGTGATTTTATGTAGAGCTGTGATACTTAAGAGAAAAATTATCTGTGGTATATGTGTACCCTAAAAATAAACTCAGCTTGCAAAGGTGACAGTATGCATATTTACCAAGGCAGCTCAACTAATTTCATATGATTTCTGCTCCAGCTGCAAGCCAGAAGAAAGCTGTTCTGAGCAAGTATTCTTTGCTGCTGGGTGTATCTAAGTTGTAATCTCATTCTTTTACCAGTGTGCAATAAAATTGACCATTAAGTGAAAGTAAGAGCAATGCTTTAAACAGCTTCAAAAAGTTCTATATCCAGAGTGATATTTCCTTCCTCTCAATCCAGAGTGCTCTTTGTTGCCAGAGATACAGTTTTGTTTCTCCATGGAGGTGAGAGTTTTTCAAGAATAAACACAAAGCAGAGGTGATTTGTTTTGTTGGTTCATTATTCTTTTTCCTTATCACTATAACCCTTGACCTTCCCCCACTAGAAGATTTTTCTTTAAAGCACCAGCCTATTTGTTCATCTAGCCCAGTGTGGCCTCCAGAGTGTCTGGCTTCCACCAAATCCTTCTCAGTGGAGATGACAGAGGAAAGACCTTGTACCTCCTTTCAAGCAAACCATGGTCCCTACCACTGAATTATGCATTCTCCTCAGAGTCCCTTCCTTTAACAGAACTAGAACCATATGTCTCCCAAGATAGAATTGATCCACATACTGAAATCTGCCCACTCTCTGTTTATCTTCCTGGCCAATGTTGGTTTTTATTATATCAGCTCAGATAGCAGCAAATTGTTCCAGAATGCCTTGGTTTAACAGAATAAAATAGTAATTTTATAGCCCTGTACATTTCATCCCTAGACGTTTATGTGTCCAGAACATCTACAGTCCAAGAGCAAGCCTCTTGTTAAAGTAAAATCCTATTCTAAAGTTTAAAGAACAGATATGCTTCAAATTTATTTATTTATTTGTTCGTTTATTTATTTATTTATTTATTTATGTATTCTGCCTCAATCTCCCCGAAGGGGTTCAGGGCGGCTTACATAGTTAAATTCATAAAACAACATCATAAAAATATAAAGCAAAACTCTGGGAATACTTACACTGTACAATAGGGTACAAAACCCTGACCTCCTGGGATAAATGTCAAATTCTACCAATCCATAATGTTTCCTCGAATCCTACTAAAAACTGCAATGTCTAGTGTGAAGAGTTAATTATTTGAATGCAGGTACTTTCATTTACTGCCCTCCTGAGATTGGGAAGTTGGAAACTCCATACTTTAAGTGATGTTTACAATACCATGTGAGGGTCTTGTTCAAACCACAGGCCTATGCTTTTTACATATATTTCTTTTGGCAAAGATGATTTTCTTTAAAAATAGAGAGGTCAGTTCCAGCAAATAAGATCAAAGGAGAAGGTAACTGGATAGATCCAGCTATTTCCATTTAATTTGGATGGCATATAATGCAAGCCTGGAGTGCCTCCTAGGAAATACTTGCGAGAGGTACTTTGTACTAATCTCTTAGCTGTATTCTGACAGTTATTTTTTCATAATCCTTATCATAAGCTCTGTTGCATAGGTTGACCCTAAACTCCAGGCCTGAAAAATTAAACATTGTGAACACTTTCCAAGCAGTCATTAATATAGCATTAAACACTGTTCAATGTGTTCATGAGTTGTTTGAATAACTCCATTCACCTACTTTTTGGTTGTTTGTTGTACTTGAAACTATAAATATTTCATAAATAGGTTATGATTCAGTTTATGTAACCTATGTAACCTACTTACACCCCAAGCCTAAATAGATTACTTGGAAGTAAGTACTCCTGATTTTAATGGGTCTTACTTCCATGTAATGGGTTTAGGATTGAAGATTATATAGGCTGGTTGGCCTTTATTGAGTCTTGCATTCCTATTGATTGGTATACTTTCAAAAAAAGTAAAGAAGGTAAGTTCACAGGCACCTGAAAGGATGGGATTGAGAGAAAAGGTCAGACTTGATTATTTCCCCTGTGCCTTTTGAAACTAAATCTTGTTTTATAAAAATCAATGAGGTTTCTACATCAATAAAAAGATATCTCTGTGATAGTGACTTAGGCTATGAAAAATTGTTGCTCATCTATCGTTATTTTTGCATATAAAGACATCGGTATGAGATCATAAAAGGGCTTTTTTTGTTACTCTGGAAAAGCCTGTGTTTTTGAAATGAAAATATACTTTATGTAACATGCTATTACTTTTTTTCCCTTCCTTTTAGAAACTTGGCTGCATTTCAGGTGCAGACTTATCCTCTAAACCCTGGGAAGACCTCTAATTCCATTGTATCACTGCCTTTTGTTACACTTGATTCCCAAGATGAATTTTCTTTCCAAATGTGATTTGTCCATGTTGGCTTTTGTGACCAGGATGCATATGCTGGTCGTATTTCAACTATCATTTTGCTTTGTGGCAAACCATTTGCTTCCATTTGGATTTCTCTCCTAAGCTACCTCTTAACAGTCTACCCCTCCAAATCTGTATGCTTCTTACGACTTCTCACCCAGTATTTTTTTAAATGATGTTGCAGTTCCACCAAGTATCCGGTTCACTAGCTCAAAACTGTAAATGTCATTAATTCTCCTATTTTATGTATCAAATTTGGTATTTTCTGTGTATAATGCATAATTGTTTCTTGAAAATATTTTATGTTCAGAATGAAAGCTTTCTTTGATTGTTGCAGAAGAAAAAGATCCTCATTCAATTCTAAAGTTCCATAAAATAAATACCAATTTATCCTTTTGGGTTTTTTAAAAAGTATCTATGCAACACTTCAAGACACCGCTACACAGTGTTGTATATTAAGAACTGTTAAGATTCTAGTGAATTAAGTACAACATTTTAGTTTTCTACTATGCTTCTTGAGGTGGTAATCAGAAAAAAAATCCCACATTTTTAAAAATGGTGCCTTGCTGTATTTCTTATACCATTTATTAAAAATCTGCTTTCACAGTAAAATTATGTTGGTTTGAAGAAAGAAAATAGCAAGGTGTGAATAATTTCTGTATATATGTATAACCAAGTGCAAATATTGATGTATAATGACAGTATAAACCGCTTTAATGTTTGTGATGCCCAGTGGTGTGGAAAACATAAGCCTTAAAAACCACTAGATTGCATGATAATTAGAGCTGGCATAATAAACATAGTTTACTGGGAAAAATTCAGAATTGGCTCTCATTTACCTGCATCTTATCTAAAAATCGATAGTGCATGCATCTACCAGAAGCTATCCACACATTCACAAAAATCCACTAGGTTCTGTATAGGTTTGTACAGATGTGAATGAATAACTGTGCCTATCTCCATTGAAGATTTGTCGAACAAGCCTGGTTTTAAATTTCAAAAACTACATCATATTATCGCAATTTTCTCTCCATGGACAAAGCAATCTGAAAGGATGCAGTTCTTCCAATGAAGATGGGTAACTGTGGTTCTACAAATGGTTCTAACCTATAGCTCCCATCTGATCTAGCCAACATAACTGATGATAAGGCAATATGGGAGCAGCAGCTCATAAACATCTGAAGGGCTGCAATTGCCTACTTCAGGATAAAAGAGACTATAGTACAGATCCTAAGAGGAGGAGATGGGGAAGAAACATGCTTGCGGGAGCTAAGTCTATTCTCTTTGGTGATCAGACTTGCAAAATTGAAATTGGGAGGCCTGCCCCAGTCCCTTCAATCACTTCCACAGGCACAATAATTTTATATCAGAGAGTTTGCGCTCTCAACTGCAAGTTGCAACTCAATAAGCAAAATGGTTTCTTATTTTCCCAGTTACACACCATCAAAGGAGGACAATTCAAAACCAAAAAGTCTTCATAAAGATATACATAGTCATTATGTATAAAAATGTAATAGTTTAATTTTCATTATAGTGAGAAAGACCATGACCAGGAAATCCACATATGTGTTCCAATTATTAATTTTTTAAAAAATATTATGGATAGCTTTATAGCATCATGCTTTAAAAAAACTGCTCAATAACCACAGTTCTTTGAATAGTGTACAAATTAAAAACATAAAATACAAAGTAGCAACACAATAACACTAAAACTAATCAGATTAAAACAGGGAAAACAAGCAGAGGCACATAATAAACATAGAAATAGGAATTAAATAGTGCAAAGATCTAAAAGCACTAAAACTGTTTCTAAAATGTCTGAAAAGAATGGTCTTCACCCAATATTGAAAATAAGCATTATGTAGAGACTAGAGTTGTACAATTCTGATAAACTGTGATCCATTTTGGTGTCCAAGATTTCAATGGGAGCCCCAATCCATTTTTCGTAAGGATAGAAATCTGTTTTCAATCCGGGAAAGTGTAATATTTGTTTTCAATCTGGCCTATTGGTGTCAACTGGGGGGGGGGGGGGACTTCCCAGGCTCCCATTCCCATCATTTTAGGCATGGTTTATCCTTATATCCTTCATTAAGAACAGAATTAAAAGCACCAGAGTTAAGATACTATTCTTTCTGGGATCCTTTCCCTTCTGCCTTTAGAGGAGACCTGGGTTTAAGGTGAGGGCTTAAGAAACTCTGCTTCCTGCAATCGTTTCCCTTCTGTTTTTAGAGACCTGGGTTTAAGGCAAGGGGTTAAGAAACCCTACTTCCTGTGATCCTTTCCCTTCTGTCTTTCGAGGAGACCCGGGTTTAAGGTGAGGGCTTAAAAAACCCCGCCTCCTACAATCCTTTCCCTTCTAGTGGCTGCCTCCTTCCCTGCACTCCATGTGTAACCAAAAGAAACTGAAAGCAGCCAGTTTTTCGACAGCCAATGTTCTCTTGCTGCTGAGAAAAAAAATGTTGGCAGAGCCCATGTCATTATGGGCATCAAAAACCATCCAAACCAGCTGAAAAGCATTTTTGAAAATGGATCTGTGCACAAGCCTAGTACAGACTAGATAAAAACACCATGGAAAGGCTACTGCCAGTGTTACTTTCAAGGTTCTAACTCTTCTTTCTGTTTTTTCACTCCATAAACAAAACTTAGGTAGTCCTTCTAACACAGGATACCTTCAAATAGAGAATTGACCCTCAGCAACCCTTCTTACGTTCTCTCTCTTCCAGGAGCTGCATTCCTGTTAGAGAAATATTTTCTGTTGCTAATATCAGAAATTTCATCATGTTCTGGCAGAAATGAATAATGCTGCCTTGGGTACAGACTAGAAATTTTGACTGTCAAAATCAGCATCCATAATAGTTAACATGGTAACATAGCTACAACAGCAAGTTCTGATGCTATCTGCTTTGCACTTCTAAGGAAAGTTTCAAAGGTTATGAATTTCTTACATGGCAGTGATTTCATGAAGAAAACTGTATGCAAACCATTGATCAAATGTCTTGGTCAAAGCTGTGATGTCTGCACAAGCATGCAGTGAAATAGTTTCACTTAAGATTACTCCTCATATATGATGCTCTTTAGGTGGTCAATGCTTCTTGTTATTCTCTAAGAAAGAACTGAGCAAGAGATGCAGAAAGTAGAAACATTATTTTAAAATGTAACATTAAGCAAACTGATGTCAGTACGCAGATGTTGTACATCGGTGGAGATTACGAACCTCTTCACATGAGGCAAAATAACTCTGTTTGCCACTTTTAGCCAGGGCTTGGACAAGGCCTGCCAAGCGCCATTGCACTACATTTCTCGCGAAGTGAAGGGAAAGTGTCAAAATGGGGAAATGGGTGGCGAGTCAATGTTTGTTGCCATGTGTTTCCCCATTTGCTGGAGGCAGGGACAGGGTAACGCAACCTGTCCCATCCCCACCATTTGATGGGGGAAGGAGGGAAGGTGCATGGGGTGCCATGCAACTGCATGGCGCCCATGGGCTATGTGAAGAGGTTAGGGTTAGGGTGAACTCTAAAGTCTGAGTTTGATATTAATATAACATTATTCTGGTATTACAGTTGAGGGGAGGACGAGGACAGGGGACTACCATGCCATGTCACTGGGTTGTCTGATCCCAAGGAATATTGGATGGCAGTGAGGATGGTTGGAGCTGGTTCTGGTTAGGAACTGGCCCACCTGTCTTCAATGTCTCTAAGTCAGGGAACAATGCAAATCCTGGCCCAGGATTCAGGCTTTTCCTGACTTAGCTTAACTGATCACTTAGGTTAGTGCATAACTGGATCAAAATGGGTAGATGAGCCCTGGCACCACTGCTTCTTTAGCAGCGACAGCATGGTAAGGAAGCAAGATCTGATTCATGGCTGAGACAATTGATTAAACGGGACAGTACTAACTGGGATCTCAACAAAATGATTCCAGCCGTTGTTTGATGTTTGCATGTCTACATCTAAGGTGCACTTTGTATGCCAAGCCCCAAAGTAAATCCATACACATAACATGGAGAAAAAAGACCACAACTTTATTTTGATTGCAGTTATAGTCAAGGTTTGGCCCACACATGGATCCAGGCAACAGCTAACCCACCTATTGATCTATGTGCCCAGAGATCCAGACTGGTGCTTGAAATGAACTAGTTGCGCCAAACCCAGCCCTGGACTCTCAGCCACCAGGAAGTATGTTATATGTCTGCTCATCACTGGGACAGACCCAATGATGGGAGCCTAATGTGAACCAATGCCTGGAGTACACTGGTTGCCCAATCCTGGATCCAAGACCCATGCCAACCACTCTACAAAGTTGTGATGAACAGAATGGTGAACAACAAAGGATGATGGGATTGGAGCTCTGAGTAAGTTGCCAGCAGCTGACTGTTTGGAAATAAATATCCAGTCCCCCAACCAGTCAGTGAACCCCCATCCGGTTCACCCCAACTGGGTGGTGTGGACCTGCTAGCCATTGAGTAAACAGCATATTGTCGATGGTCTGCTCGACCCACAGGAGATGCTCCACCTCCATACCTCATGCCTGCCTTGGCATGCAACCTTGGCTGTGAGGATAAATCAGGCATCAGCTTTTATTTCATATTCAGATGTTATTCAATCACAAGCAACCCATAGCACAGCATAGCAATACTCTCAGTGTTCTTTTCAATTGTCTTTATTTTAAAAGTTCTAAAAGTTACATTAACAGTCAAAAAAGTGAATAAAAAGAATTATAGAGTAGAAACAAAATTCCAAGAAAACAGAAAGAAAGAAGAAAAGAAAAAGAAAAGGTAGAACGTTCAATTTATCCTCACTCGGCAAAAAGGAAAGCTTCACCCTCCAGGTCTCCCAGTGTTGACACCTTTCTCAAACACACACCCCCTCCCCAAATTATTCTTCAGAACTCAAAATTGGCAAGTCCTTCTCTTCCGTATGCAAAAAGTGAACAAAAGGTTTCCAGTCTTTCAAAAAAAATTCTAATGTCTCTTCTTTTAGTAAATAAGTTAATTTGTCTATCTCGGCCAAGTCCATCATTTTTATCTGTTGTTGGTGCTACTGAGTTTTTCCATTTCTGTGTGTAGAGCAATCTGGCTGCTGTGCTCATATACAGGTAGTCCCTGAGTTATGAACATCTGACTTACAAACAACTCATAATTACAAACTGGCTTCTCCTGTCCCTCCCTGCCATGAAATCTTTCTATTTTTCTTCCTATCCATATTTCTCAAAACCCCATCTCCCTATTCTGCTATCAATCTCTCCACTCTCTTTTTCTTTCTAACAGTAATGTGCATTTTTTAGTCAAATTATACAGAGTGTACTTTTTGTTGGACCTGTTCTGACTTACTAACAAATTCAACTTAAGAACGAACCTAGAAAACCTATCTTGTTTGTAACTTGGGAACTGCCTGTATAGTGTTTTGAAGAGCTGTAGACAAGGTCAAAGAAATTATTTGTGCAGCCCACCAAGAGCCCAGGCCTGTCCTATCACCAGCAGCCTGATGCAATGCCAGAGATTGATCCCCTAGTACTTTCTGCAATTAAAGCAACTGGTGAAGGATTAACCAAACAATTTGACTGAATCACAATATTTAGTAAAATTGATTAAAGATGGATCAAAAAGATGAGGGGGGGGGGAAGGAACTCTGTGTTGTCAAGAGGTGTAGTTTTCAACCCATTTCACAAACTTTCAAGGATTTATTACTGAATACTGAATTTATGTGGAAGGAAGATGTAGAGTTTTTTTTCGTGTCAGGAGCGACTTGAGAAACTGCAAGTTGCTTCTGGTGTGAGAGAATTGGCCATCTGCAAGGACATTGCCCATGGGACACCTGGATGTTTG